TCATTTCTTCTTTGCTGTTAATTACTGGTCGTTGCTGCTTTATTTCCAGTGCCCCCTTATCCTTCTTTCGACAGGATCTACCACATTCCTGTACAGTATGGAGGTGCGTAGTTCCGGCGGTCTTTCTTGGGCGTGCCTTAGTGTGCGGTGTCTCGAGAATGGGTTCTCTGGGTAGCTCTGCAGGCTCCGCAAATCTCTTAGGTGTTCCTCCATTCTCTTGTGAAGTGGCCTCGATGTTTCTCCAATGTGAAACTCATGACATGAGAGGCACACAATTTTGTACACCGCACACTTTTCCTGGCACACTTTATGTTCTCCACAAATCCAACAGTTAGCTTTTTCACATCGACTCTCACATGGACGCAATGATGCTAGAAGTCGTCGTTAGAAGGTGGTCGAAATGTAAGGCTTTTGGTGAGCCTTGATTGTTTCACGACGCGATTAACATTAACAGCGAATGAGTCACTGATGAAAGGTAACACGAGTGAAGTGCAATGAAGTGATTGGTAAGGCCTCCAGTATCGGAACTGCCGATTTCTATATCCGTTTTGCCGCAAGATATTCTTCACTTCCATCTGTTCGTGATTCGTGGAGGTCAGTTCACGTGATGTCGTAACCATGTGGCGGACTACGTTCACTTTCATATAAAGAGGATTGCAGCTTCTCGCGTGAATGAGGCTGTTCTGAGATGCCAACTTCTTATACCACATGATGTTGATCCGACCTTCCGAAATCTTGACTTTGGTATTCAGTAATGGAAGGAAACCATCCGGGGGAAGGCTTTCGGCTGTCAATTTTATTGACGGACACATTCCATTCAGCTTCCCAAATGTTTGTCGCAGAGCAGTCCGCGATCCTCCGACAATGAAAATGTCGTCGATATATCGTCCGAAGTATAGAACTCCAGGCGCCAAGGCTGCTCTTTCAAGTCTATCCATAAATATGATCGCTAATATGGTGCCAATCGGCTCCCCATAGCGAGTCCCCTTGTTTGCTTATAATAGATATTTCTGAAGCGAAATATGTTCATTTTAGCCACTACAAAATCATTTTTCCTTGCTGCTTCTTTAGGCTTATGTCATTGGTCACGTGCACGAGTACTGGATAGGTAAGTTGGGCGTTGTCTCGTTCCGTCGCACTCTGCTCACTACTACCTTCCTTACTATATTAGAATGGGCGGGAAAATGGGGCGGGCATTGATTATCAGCTAGGTCTTTTATGTTTTCTTTGAGAGGGAGGGGGGCGGTCACAGAGTTGTTATCATACTCTATGGACTTGGCATATTTGGACAAATAAGCGAATGTTGCTTCTTCGTTTATGCCTTCTTTAGTTGATATGCCCAGACCTTCAAGTTCAAACATGGTTTTGACCATTTCTGCATCCGTTGTGGCCTCGGAGACAACTGTATTGCAAGCTCTGGTTATGTCTTCACATGAGCTATGTGGGCCGCCGATTCCGCGACCATATGCCGCGAATCCAAATACCGTCTTGGCGACGCGAAGTCCTGATGGCATTTGAACTGGCGGTGTATTTTCCGGGATGAAGACATTGTAGAGATCGATACCAACTAAAATTTGAGGGGTTTGACGTTCGCCACTTAGCCTGCTGTTTGCGAGATAAATGCAGTTTTCTTCCATAAATTGAACGTCCGCGTCTAGCAAGCGAACTGAGGGGAAGCCTTTCGTAAGTGTGGGTTTTGTTCTCAAACAGAACCGCAGCTCCTTTGCATGTGCGGTTTGAATTTTCAACTCTACGTGGTGTGTGAAGAAAGTTTCTGAAATTCCACTTATTCCAGATAGTGTACACTGCTCGGTTTGTAAAACTGGCAGAGCGAGGTGTTCTGCTGATTTCTCCTCTATCAGGCTTAGCTGCGCTCCTGTATCGAAGAAAAATAGCGCTTTTTCGTATGAATCGGTCTGATAATTCCATACAGATCCTTCTGCTGTCATGAGAACGATCTGTTCGGGATCTCCATAATCGTTCTGATGGATTGCCGAGGTATTCACCGTGTGCGAGGTGGGTAGCGTCGGCATTGAGTTCGCATCTGAATCGTATTGCACCGTTGCATTTGTGGCACCTGGCCTACTGTCACTTGGGTTCACCCGAGGTTCTTTGCGAGCGTGGTTACGTTCAGGTTGACTCTCCGATGGCTTCTGAAAACACAGTGTCTGATCATGTAATCTCCCACACCTTTTGCAATTCGGTCTCGAGCACTCATAGCTCCTGTGAGTTGGAGCAAAGCATTTCCAACACAAGTTCTTCTCCATGACAATTTTGCGGCGCGCACCCGCGTCCTGGACTGTACGGCACTGGAACGCTTTGTGATTGAAACGTCCGCAGAAATTGCACAGTTCGGTGTTTTCGTACGCTCGATTGCCTTTTTGTGGTTGTGAGTGGGGACTCTGTTTTTGTTCTCTCTCGCACTCCTAGCCGACGCGTAATGTATTGATAGCGCATAATAATGCCCTCAAGTTTGTCCAGGGTTTCTCCCACCGTGTAGGATTCGCCATCTTTGTTTTCTCTCAGAAACTCTTCGACTATGTGGTGAGGGAGCTTCTGTATGATTGCTTCGATCCACATTGGGTCCTTTGTGTCAGTGACATTGTACCCGGAGGAGACCATTTCATTTACCAGGGATCGGAGTTCATCGAAAACGTGCTCGCATGTGTTTTCTTTCGCAGGCTGTATCTTTGAGAGGCGCTGTATGACGTTTGCACGCGCTGTGGTTACATTACCATACTTTCTAGTTATAGTTTCAACCATCCATGTATAATTTTGAGGCACCATTTTGATTCCTTTGATGGCTATAGATGCTTTCCCTATTAGGCTTTCTTTCAGCACTATCATTTTTTCCATGTCTGTGAGTGATGGATTTGTGTGTACCAATGTTTCGAAAATAGCCCAGAACTCGTGGAATTCTTCCACTTTCCCACTGAAGTGTGGAATGGTCACCGCAGGCGGCTTTAGTGTTGTTCGTGTGGCTGCTTGGCTTTCATTTATTGCTATTTCGCATTGCTCGCCATTCACCGTATTTTGCTGTTGAAACTGGTAATCTAAGCTTTGTAATGTTTTCGATTGGAAGATAGAATCGCTCTCTGGAATTTTATGTTTTTCTTCTTGGGAATTTGTTTGAGCGAGCGCAAGTCGCGACCGATCTTTTTCTCTGTCTTCGTCTCTAATGTCACTTCCTGTCAGGATGAGATCATGCGATACCTCTGATAATCGCGTTTTCAACGCTGAAAGCAGAGCGTCTGTTTCTATCAATGTGGCATCGAAGGGGATTTCGGTCTCGATAGCTTGGAAGTCCTCCAGGATTTCCTTTCTTTCTGCTTTCTTAGCCTCTGAAAACTCGTGCTCGATTTCTGCCAGCACTGCAAGTAACTCCGATTTCGCTGTCTCTATGAGCGAAATGGCATTTTGAAGGGCTGCTTTAGTTTTCGAAAGAAAGTGTTGTTTTTCGTCAACGATGTGGGGAGGAGCTAACTCTGCGCTGTACCCCCTAAACGTGTCGAGCTGTGCTTTCAGCGCGACATTTGCTCGTCGCAGACTCGACTTTTTGAAAAAGAACGACATGACCACGTTCTCTGAGGATTCTCTGGTTCGGTGCTCTCAGTTCTAATGCTGAGTCTGAATTGTAGTGGGCAGGGTTCTGCCTGACTACTTGCCAAGTCTTCTGATTCGGCCAGAAGCAGAAATCAGAGGACGGGCAGCTCGTTTGATTCGAGCTTCCGATGCACCAAGAGTGTACAAGCACTGGTGTGGTTCAGTCTTTATTCTACGTCTCTCGAACGGACTCAGCCGCTCGAGACAAGCGCTACAAAACCAACAACGTGACCAGGCGCCGGGGCGGGCGGGGCTTCGTCGCGCGTAGGCTGCGACACTCCCGGCCGGCCCCAGCGCCCCAAAAACACTAATAATGAACCATGTGACTACAAAGCAGCACTCGAAGCGAAAGAAAACATTACCGTAAGTGAAGAAATCTAATACTACCGTGAAGGAAAAGGCAATATCGTTAGCAACGAAAGGCAAAACTACAAACAAGGAGTCTACCATCTGCCGAAGTCTTCTCAGACGCCCGAAAGGCTCCTGCGGCGGCGAGCGAGGCACCGCGATTCAGTGCAGCGACGAGTTGCCCATTTGTTCTTGTGATTGACGACGATGGTGGTAATAGTGGAATTCGAGAAGCTGGAGATGGTGCAATGTGTAGTAGAAATAGCCAGTAGCCAAATAGGGACAATAGTCCGCGAGGCGAGTGATGACAGGCCGAGTATACTGGACGAAATACGCGAATAAGGATCCAGCTAATAGTCGAATCGAGAGGCTGGAGATGGTGCGATGTTTAGTAGGAATAGCAGTAGTCAAATAGGGGCAATACTTCGGGAGGCAAGTGACGGGCCGAGTAGGTTGGACGATGGAGACGAAGGAGCATAGCATGGGCGACGTAGTGAAGTAGCGACGACGGTAGCAGACAATATGGGATGGGATTTCAGGTCTTTCTTTTCTTGGATGGTGGTCCGGAGCGGGATGAGCAGATGATTGAATTGTGATCGCCACGGCAGATCGTGCAGCTGACGAGACAATCTCGACCATGCTCTGCGCGGAGGCATCTTGGACAAAGATGTAGCTCCGAAGCTCGCATGGCACGTGAGACTGAATCGCGGAATCGATGGCATCGTGCGGAATGATGTCCATCGATGTTCTCCCCAACCGTACAGAACACACAATTAGATGTGGGTGCTGTGCGCTCGAGGAGAACTTTCAGGTCGTCTTGGATTTGTGCGACCTTGGTGAAAATGGTATCGAGACGACCGGATATAATGCTGACTGTCTCGGCCAGGCTCTCGATGCTTGTCCGACGCTCCAGCTCCATTAGCTGTATTTCGTGGTCGATGTCGTAAGCCATGCAGTGATGAGAAATGCGTGTTGCCTAGCTCTTATAGCGGAGAAGCTTGGGGAAAAATGAAAGATCGCAAAGTTAAGATAAGAATGTTGTCTGTTGGCTACTGTTGGAGACGGGATCGTAGATTGTGTAAGCCATGCGCGCACGCTGTAACTGATTTTATGAGTAGATGAATTGTTGCAGTGATGAGTGGTATCGCCAATGCGATGATTTGGATAAGAGCTCTCAGGGAGCTTAGAATGACAACGGGACCGAGTAGGTAGGACAAGAGGATCCCAATGGCTACAACACTGATCGCTGCGATTGAAACTTTCCAATGTTCAACAGCCACCTTCCATAGTGGAGAGAAGTCAGGGATGTGTGCATCTTTGAACCAATCTGTCTGCGGGATGTGTCTGATCGAGTTGTGAAGGAAAACATCTTTGAATCTGTCTTGATGACTATGGTAGTAAAGGACTCCATGTATCTCTACTGAGATGTTTCTGTTATCGCATATTGTGTAGCATTTCGACGCTACAATTGCCCTATCCCATGTCATCTTCACTGTGGTTGTTTTGTTGTCCGGGCTGCATTCTATGGAAAAGATGTTATGCTCACAAACAATGGTTGTCCAGGATGGTTGGTAGGTGTGGCATGAAATGTTAACTTTACTCCCTTGTTTACAATTGTAACATCCTTCCAGCGAGCCAGCTTGTACCGCGCACGGTGTTTTGATACGTAGATGTGCATCATCTAGGCGCATGTGTGATGTTATTGCAAGGATTATCTCGCTTTCGTCTGATTCTGCGATTACTGTACTGTTTCGAGAGGAAAGTGCTATGTGTGGTGTCGATAGGGGCAGCAAGAAGTTGCTGCTGTTGCGCAAGGAGTTCAAGCTGTCATGGGGACAACGGCAGCTAGGCTCAAACCCGCTCACATCACAGTCGCAGAAGTGCATGTTCGTGCAGGTGGAGAAATTTGTCCGAGCTTGTGACTCGGAATGACAGGTCACTGGGAAGGAAAAATCTTCTGACAGCTCTATTGTTTCGCTGTCGGATCTAGCAAATTTTTGGTGGAACGATATGTGCGGTTTTTGGATGGAAATTACTGTGAATGCGAAGTGCGCAAATTCTCTCGTCAGGTACGGCTGCAAGGCTAGGTTTTCATCGTACTGAGTATTGTACAATCGAACCGAGACATCAAGATGTACGGTCGGTTTCCAGGCCTGGCATGTGAAAATTTCATACGGCTGTGAGGAAATGGGAGTGTGTGCTACACGGTAAAATGTGCATGCTCGAAAGGGTAGGACGCAGACGCAATTGACACCGCTACATTGTATAGAACATGCCGTATATCCCGGGTCCACTCCGAATTGGCGAAGTTCTGGTATGCTGTCGTTCGGAGCTAATGTTTCACACCTAGTGTCAGTACATGAGCCCATACCGCGACATCTTGTCATGTGGCGAACGTAATACTTAGTGTCTCTGGTCCAGAACAGTGTGTTTTTCAAACATTCCAAGCGAAGTGGTCTGCGTTGCACTTTTATGTATCCCACGCTAATATTGGCATGCCGTAGCTGCACGCAGAGGCTCGTTGTGACTTTGTTAAACAATATTTCGCGCCTGTATTCATAGTGACACGCGTTGAGCTGCGTACAAGTGAGATCTACTGAATGTCGCATATACCCGTCTTGACAAGGGGATACCGTAGCGGCGACCACCGCAATGGTAAGGAGTCCATAGCGTGAGATGGTTGAAGTAGGGCGGGTGTAAATGATGATAGTGTGAAAGGAGCATGTTCTTGTTGTGTAGTATTGACCTGAAGCTCTATTTGTGTGGTGTCAGTCGTAGAGGTCCCTTGAGTTGGCTTCTTTCGAAAGAATAGCCAGAGTAGGAGGCTTAGCCCCGTGATGACCGAAAAAGCTATGACAGCGACTGAGAACAGTGCACCACTTGGCCAGCAATGAGGGTTGGCTAGTAAACTCTTCGAGAGGAAATTGGATACATGCTCGCAGAACGGTGCAGTTCTGCAGAGGCGTGTTCCAATCACATGTTCGGAAATGAGTTTGACTTTTGTTAGGTCATGTACCGGCGATGGTGGTAGCACATATCGCAGCTGTGATTCATTGGTACTAATTTTTTTGCAGATGTTGTCAAAGCACAATTGAAAAGGAGGAGGGGGAGGTGAAATTTCCACAACTCCATTTGCGCACATTATGTATTTACTGATTTGATGGCCTACGCATTGTTGTAGGTTGAACACGAGTGTTATCAGAAGAAAAAGTGCTGTGTTGATGGAACTTTTTTGGTTGTGTTGTTTCAACACTGGATGTTCTGTGCATTCGATGTGGTGTTCGCTTTGCTGATATTTACGGAGCGCATCGTATGCTTTAGTCTTTGCAGCGCGCGGAGGTGGGCGCTCATGTCGGCGTGGTGTTTCAGACGTATCACGCTGGTCACGGTGATTATCTTTACTATTGCTACAAGCTTCATTAGACTCTGGCTTAGGTATCGTTGCTCTGATTTCAAGCGGGTAGAGTTTGTTAATTGGTCGCTGTATGGGAGCCGTTTTGTGTGACAACTTGATCTTAGCCGAGCGTATCATTCCGTCTTGGCTGTAAAAGAGTTCAACCACTTTCCCCATTGGCCAGTGCTCGCGTGGTATGAATTCTTGTTCGACGAGTACGATCTCTCCCTGCTCGGGAAATGCTCTCGCATTATGCTGCTGTTCTTTGAGAATGGACTTATTCACGTCTCTTATCATTGTTAGGTATTCTGTGTTCCAAATCGCCCAGAATTTGTCCGCTATGTGCTCAGAGAATTCTAGCGCTTCCCTCGCCTGTGACACCGTCTGGATGCAGTCAGGATCAAAGGTGGGATCGTCCTCGTCTGTGTGCGACCCGTATGATGTCGGTAGAGAGAAGCTTACACTTCCCCTGTAGGAAGTCGACGGGACGTAACGGCCGAGTTTGTACATCCGCTGAGCTAATGGCTGTCAGTGGTCTGGTATTGATTATCGCCTCTATGCGGATGGTCAATGTGTTCATATCCACAAAGGTAAGCCTTTTCCTCCCTATGGATTTATGGAAGGCATTTTTGACTAGGGCTACTAATCGCTCCCAGGCTCCCCCCATCCATGGGGCTCCAGGAGGGTTGAAGACCCACGAAATTCTTTGATTGGCACAATAGCCCATTGTGGAGATGCCGGTTGACTCGTCCTCGGTGAAAAGCAAGTCGATTACTTTCTGTCCGAGTTTGAAGTTGCTGCCGCAGTCTGTGCGGACTAGTGTTGGAACCCCTCGGCGAGAAACAAAGCGTACGAAGCTGTTTAGAAAGGCTCCAGCAGACAGACTTTCCACTAGCTCGAGATGGATTGCGCGAGTTGTTAAGCAAGAATATAAGCAGATGTATACTTTTGAGTTGTCTTTCAGCGCGAAGGGGCCCATGAAATCACACCCTGTGTTTTGGAACGGTTTCGCTCTTGTGACCCTATCACTGGGCAGGGGAGCCATAGGGGGTGTGCCAAATGGGTGACTTTGCGCTCGGCGACATATTGCACACTTGTTGAGGATTGAGCGAACTGATCTGGACGGTCTTGAAAGCCAAAAGCGTTGACGAGCTAGTGCTAGCAAGTGATTTCTCCCGCAATGTCCATTGTTTCTATGTAGATCGCTTAGGATGAGTCGCATAAGTTCTGAATTTGACGCCACGTATATCGGGTTCTGTGTATCATAATGTAAGTTTGCATTTTGCAAGCGAGACTTGCAGCGAATTACACCACTTCCGTCACGGAATATAGTTTTGTCGCGATGTTTGCTTCTTAGGTCATCGATGTCGATGCCCTCGTGCTCAATCTTCAAGAGTATGCTTTCTGCGTGGTTCATATCATCGGCTGTGATTTGTGTGTCTGCCGAGTATTTTGAGATGATGTTGACGGCAATGGTTTTGTTGCGTGAGTGGTAGACCCGATTCACTAGGAGTTTGAGGAATTTCCCGACGAGAGCGAGTACGCGCAGAGCCTTTGAAAAACTGCTATATCTTCTGAGCTGAAGTAGCTCCCATGATTCCGTTTTACCCTCGGCAACAGTCTCAGCCAGCACTACTTCGTCTTGCAATTCCTCGTCGTGCTCATTCGGAACTGTGTCGATTGATTCGATGCTGATTAGTGATTCTCTCTGTGTGCTGTCGAGCAACCACTGAGGGCCTTTCACCCAATCTGTATAATCTAGTTGAGCGCCAGTGACTCCCCGAGTGCCTGCATCAGCAGGGTTCTTTTCTCCTGGTACGTGCAAAAGGTGAATTTCGTACCCAAAGGCTGTGAGTCTGTTCAGAATTGACCTTATTCGATCGCGTTGGTTAAGGATAAAGAGAGGTAATTTTCGAGAAGTTCGTATCCAACTCAGCGCAATGAGGCTGTCACTTACAATATTAATGCTTGAGAGCCCGGTCTGAAGGGCAGTTGATATCGATTCCGCTAGCCGTAGAGCTATAAGAATAGCGAGCAGCTCGAGTCTAGGTATGGAAAGTGGCCTTTTCTTAGGGGCTAGCTTGGTCTTACCACTGATCAGGTTTGAAACTTCGTTAAAATTGTATTCCACCATGTATGCGCAGACTGCCATGGCTTGGTGACTGGCATCTGCGAAGACCCATAGGCTGTTCTGCCTATCGTGGGTGCGCGACCGAACAAAGTGTCGTGGAATTTCGATGTGAACCTCACCAATTTCCCTGTTTATTGCCTGCCATTCTTGGATAAGTCCATGTTCAATCTGTGAGTTCCATTCTGGTGTTTCTTCGAGCACCATACGCATCAACTGTTTTTGCTTTATGAAAAGCGGAGCACTGAATCCGATGGGGTCGTATACGGAGTGGAGTTGAGATAAGAGGTCTCTTTTAGTCATCGGGCGACGCTGAGGCTTCGTGTCGAATAGAAAAGAATCTGAGCTGTGGTCGTAAGCCACTCCGAGCAGTTTCGTGGGACCACATGGAGCACGATCTTCTTCGCCTATGTGAGAGTTTACAACCGCAGAATTACTTAGAAAGGCCCTCAGGTTCATTCCCAAAGCGCTGAAAAGCGCTTTCGATTCTCTGTATTTTTTGATAGCTTCATCTGTAGTAGATGCCGTCATGAGGACGTTATCGACGTACAAGTACTTTTGGATTTCGTTAGCCAGAACATTGTCAATCCGGCTGAGGTAAGCAGATATGACCATATTTAGTACACTGGGAGAGGCCTTTGTGCCAAATGGGAGACGCTTCCACCTGTACTCGACCAGGTTGCTATGAATTGGTGGTTTTTCAGGGTCTTTGAGCCAAAGAAACCTGCATAGATCCCTATGAGGCTCATGAACCCGAATTTGAGTGAAAGCGGCCTGTATGTCTGCTATAAGAATTATAGGCATTTCCCGACTCGCGACGAGGATGTCGTGAATTTTGTTCACGAAGGATGCTCCCGTGTAAAGCACGTCATTAAGTGAGAGCTGACCTCGCTGGTGTGATGAGGCGTCGAAAACGATTCGAAGCGGTGTTGGTTTGTGTTCTTTCCACACACCCGAATGGGGCATGTAGTAAGTCCCGACGGACTGACCGACTGGCTCTTTCACTTCTTCAATTATGTCGTCCGCAAGGTACTGTTCGATAATTTTCACGTACCATTTCTTTCTTTCTGGAAAGGCGTTCAAGTGTTTGACTTGAGCGATTAACCTTTTTAAAGCCATATTCCGGTACATGGGTTGTGGAAGAAGGCTCTTACTCACTTATTTTGTCATCCGGATGCTGGCTTGAGTGCTGGAACCAAGATCTCACGCACTTCGCTGCGACGGTGGGCGTGCAATGCGACTGCGTTTGGCGCGGTGCAAACCAGTTCTCCACAGTTGCTGAGCGGGCAAGTGACAATACTGTATCATATTCTTCGTATTACTGGTCTTCTACCACTTTTTGTCGCAGCGTCGCCTAAGACGCCCAACCGTCCGCAGCGAACTAGAGTGTACTACCGTGTTTGCTCAGTGTCGTTTTTACTGATTTGAAAACAATTCTTCCGGCATACATTACCTATATCCACAAAATTTTCGTACATAAGTCAAGGAAAGATTCAGAAAATAATTCGATAGACAACTCTCATTTTTTTGTATTGTTTCCAAGTTTTTCCCGCATGGATTTGTAGTATTTCGTCATGGAAGAGCTCGATCCTAAAAGCAACCACCCTACAGGACTGCGTTCAATCTGAGGGAATACAAAAGTACTAGGCAAAATTATGACAACACAAATAAAATACAAAATAAAGTCTTCATTACTCATGTGATTATTATGCATGTCACATACAAGACAAAACAACAAACTGCCACAAACATGCCTATGATGCAAATGGTGCAGTATGGTATGGCCAGCGCTTCAAGGAAGAGCCCTCCAATCAACAGCTGAACGACATTTCATCAACTGTGGAGTTTATAAGTATATCAAGTCAAGCTGTAACGCCTGCTAGCACTGTTTCCATGAGATCATCTCTAATAAATTCTGGAAACGTTTTGATAGAATAAACACTCCAAAGTCCTTTCAAACTAGAGAACGATATCCCGCCTGCTCATTCATGCAGAGAGTGGGCAAGCTTTTTCGATGGATTGAATCGGAGTCGCAAGCACCGTTGCCACAATGTCTTGGATACATCGACGTCCAAGTCAGCAGCTTCAGGAATCACCACTGATTCACCGTTAACTGGCATCAACCATCGGAATTCGCTAGATAATAATAATAATGTTGATGAAGAGAAACATTTTACAGGTGTGCTAATCATCAACGGAGGAGCGTCATAGCGTTCCAACATTCTTTTCCACGTTCCCTTGGGAGGTCCCATGTACAAACATCACACCGCGTATTGGCAGTCATGATCTGCTAAAAAATCAGCGAATTACAAGCTGTTTTTTTTTTGTCCCATCCTTTTTTGGAACGGTCTCAACGCTAAGCCTCGACATTATACAGTTGATATCACCGCAACCAGTCGGGTCGCAATCAGCGGTCGCGACCTGCGGAATTGCTACCAATGTTGTTTTCCGTCTCACTGATCTTCTCCGGTCGCCATTGGCAGAGCAAGGCAGCCGCAGGCCGGCTCATGCCGCGCTGCGCTCGACAAGGTTGCAATGTTGCAAAGTATACTATCAGATTTCTAGCGCCACCTCACATACTTGCGTTCTGCATTCTGCTCCGTTCCTCACAACCAGGAGT